TTTGTAAATAAATAAAGCATTAAAATTAAATATATATATTTATAAAAAAAGTTATATTTCAATATATTTTTTTTTCTATTGATTGTTATAACTAAAAAAATAAAAATTAAATTACATTAATTAATAAACTAAAAAACAATACATTTTTTTTTATTTTTATAGCTTTGAAACATTAAATACAATTTATTTAAAAATAAATTAAAAAAATAAAATTTAAAATAGAAATAAAAATAATATAAATTTTATTATAAATAATAAAATTATAATTTATATATAAAAATAAATATTAAAAGTAAATACAAATTTTTCTTTTTATTTACATAAGAAAATAAAAAAACTATGTAATAATTAGAATAATAATTAAACTAAGGAGATGACACATTTTAAAACTTTTCCTCCTATTTTATTGCTATAAAAGTATTAGGATAAGGCTCATTTGGAAAAGTAATATAAGCTATTGACTAATAAACAGAAGAAGAAATAGCAGTGAAAGTAAAATAATAATAATAAAAAAAAAGAAAAAAAAAAAGATAATTAACAAAAAACGAATGTCAGAATAAAGTATATAAAAAATAAAATAAGAAGCCATAATACTCTAAAAATTAAATCATAAAAATATTATAAAATTTAAGAAATTAATAGAAACAAAAACAAAAATATTAATCGGTATGGAACTTGCCAAAGGAGGGTCATTAAATTATTAAATCAAATAAAGAAAAAAATAAAATATTAAATTTACTGAAACCGAAGTTTCTTTAATAACTAAATCTATTATAGAAGGTTTAGCTTATATGCATTCTTAAAATATTATACACAGAGATTTAAAACCAGGTTTTTATTTTAATTTAAAATATTTATATAAATTCATGCACTTTTTTTTTGTTTACAAAAATAAAAATAAAAAAAGATAATATTTTAATTAATGATTTGAATGATTTATAAAATATTAAAATTGCAGATTTTGGTTTAAGTTCGGTTTTCTGTTTTTGGAATACAAATGCTTATACTTAATAATGTGGAACTTTATTATATATGGCACCAGAATTCTTCGTTTCTTGCGCATATTCTAAATAAATCGATCTTTGGAGTTGTGGAATTATTATTTATAATTTGCTAGATTAAGGTAATCATCCTTTTTATGATCCGAAAAAAGATAATTCAGACAGTTTCAAAAATAAATTAATAAACAAAGAATAATTAGTGTTAAGATATCCTGATCATTTTTCGAAAATAGTATAGAATTTGATTGAAAAATTACTGGATTTTAATCCAACTTAGAGATATTCAGCAATATAAGTACTATAACATCCTTTTACGACAATGAGAAGTGAAGATAAAATTCCTTTAACACTAAATGAGAAGATTTTTTGTGTATAGAAAATGTAGGACTTTATATAAAAGGCGAAGTGTTGTATGTTTTTGAAATTTTTGTTGTTAAAATGCAATAGTTCTTAATATATTAAATATAATAAAAACTTAAAGAATTATTTTTAATAAAATAGAGTTTGCTAAATAAATCAAAATTAAGAAAATATTGGTTAAAGAAGAAAAATTTCATTAAAAAATAATAATTTAAACGATATTTCAAATGAAAGATAATATTGTTTGAAAGTTTCTTAAATATTAGTATTATCAAATATAGAATAATTATATCCAAGAAATAAAATACCTTTAAGATGTAATTAAAGTGTGTATAGAAGATAAAGTTCAAACTATACTAGAGATAATAATAAAAATAATTTTAATTTACTTCCTAAATTATTTTTATAAGATAAATATATTTAAAGTCTAAATTAATTAGCTGTAGAAACTATTAATTAAGTAATTTAATATTTTTAAAATATATATATTATCATTATTTATATATATATATATATATATATATATATATATATATAGGAAAAATAAGCTGTATAAAAAGGTATTATGAAAAGATATTTAATGAATACTTAATCAAGATAACACAATATAAATATGAAACATTTTTTCAAATGAATTTTAAATAAAATATTAATAAATAATTTATTAATAGAATAATTTATATATATATATATAAATAATATTATTATATCTACCTTTATTATTTTTTTTATATTTATCACTTATAAAGTTATATATATATATATATATATTTATTTTTTAATTATAAAATTAATACTAAAATTAGAATTAATCTATAAGTTAAAAATATTTATTTAAAATGTATAAAATTAATTTATTAATATAGACTTTCTTTAATATTTAAAATATATATATATATATATATATATATATATATATATTTATAATAAAATCAAATGATAATAAAATTATAAATAAAGAAAAAAAAAAGAAATTTTAATGTTAAATTACTTTCTAAATATTTTATTCATTTAATCATCTTTATAAAAAATATAATTTCTATTAATTATTTAATTTAAATTTTTTTTTTTTAAATAATTTTAATAGTTTTATAAATCTTCTTATGATATTTTTTTTATTTTCTGTTCCTATTTTATAATTATATTTTAATAAAATACAATAATTAAATGAATACATTATAATTAAATTTAGAATTTTCCATAAATAAATTTATATTTCTAAATCATTTAAATCAAAAAATAATTCTATTTATTTTAATTTTTTAAAATATCTTACCGAATATTACATTTTCCAGCCAGCTGGTTGTTCATTATTTTTAAAAAAAATTATATTTGTATATTATAATTTTTTCTTATTTAAATATACTAATTTATAATTAATAAAATAATTTTTTTACATATATATTAATTCATTTTATACGATATTTTTTATAAATTTTTATATTTTTAAAATTAATTTAAAGACAGAGATTAATTTAAAAAAAACTTTGATTATTAATTAATATTTTTTCATTATATTATATTAGTTTTTTTATTTCTATTTTTAATATCTTATAGTATAAAATGTTTGCTGTTTTTTATTTTAATTAATAAAATTATTATAACTATTATTAATATTATTTGATTTTATTATTTAAAGTATTTATTACTTGTTTATATATTTCAACAAATTCTTAAACTTAAATTTAGATTTTACCTTTTAATTTTAAATAATCAGTGTATTTGTCCTATAGAAAAATTTATTAGATATTTTTATTTTTAATATAAATATATATATATATATATATATATTTTTTTTTTCTATTTCAAAAATAAAATAAAATAAATATAAAAATAAAAGATTACTTTTTATCTAAAATAGAAAGTATATTATTATTCAAAATAAATAAATAAAATATTCTTATAATAAATTTTCTTATTTAAAAAGTTTTATTAATAGTTATATATATATGATGTTTTTTTTTATTTATATTTATATGTAATTAGTATAGTATAATTAATAATTTATTATTTTTTATAAAAAAGATATATAAATTTATATTTAATTTTATTTTGTAAATAAAATAAAAAAATATGTCCAAATAATATCGAATATCGTAAAAATAAATAAGTATTTAGCATTAATTTAAAGGAGATACACAAAAACACATAATACCTTTACATAACTACAAATTATTATTAATATATAAGTAAAAAGATTAATCATATTCTAATTATATTTTATAAGATGTAAAATATAATAATTAAATTAGTTAAGGAACATTTTAATATTATCCTGAAAAATATTGTAATATTGATGATTAGTTATTTGTTTTTTATTAATAAAGTGCATAAAAATTAGTTTTATTTAATTTATAATAGCAATAGTTTATAGATTATTTTTAAATATAAGCTCCTACAATATAATGTGTACCTGAAAACTTGCGAAAAAATGAAGATTTTATAACTGACGTTGTAAATGATAGCCAATTATACTCATTCAGTGAGAGTAAAATAGTTGTTTTATGTGAAAAAAAACAAAGAAATGATAATATGGTTAATATTTAAGAATTAATATTAACGGCATATTCAACATAAGATGAATAATAGGGAAAAAATTATAAAATATAATAAATAATAATAAACATAGAATAAGGATAGGGAGAAAAAATAATAGAAAAACTAGACGAAAGGGATAAATTAGTAATTTGCTCTAATGTATTTTATGAAAAAAGTACAATGAAATTCCATATATGGAATATATTAAAATGCGAATCACCTTTATAAGTTATAGTTTTGGAATTATAAATAAGCGGGGTTCTTATAAGTATTACTAATTGGGAAAAAGAATATGATATTGCGTTTTGGTTTAACATGAAATAATAAGAACCAGAGATATTAATTTATAATTAAGAAAGTTAATTATAATCCACTTTTAGTTGGAATATATAATAGTAATAAAAATTACTTTCATAAGTACTTAATGTAGATTTCAAAAAATAAAGAATTATAGTATAAACAATATGCGATTGCGGATAAAATCTAGAAATTATAAACACTGAAAGTTAAAAAATTAGCTTTTCCTAATAAATTTGTGATAGTTAGTTTTATGAAAATAATTTGTAATTTTATGTTGAATGCTTAAATGATTATGAAATTGAATTTGAAACAAAATTTAATGTGAATTCAATTGTAGGAATAAAAACAACACAGCTTAATTTTCTTAATAAAAAATAAATAACATAGTTCTATGGGGAATAAGTGTCTAAATCTATTGTAGATATGTTAAATGACAATTGAAAAAAAGAATGTTTTAGTTAGATAAAATTATAAATGTATATATTTATATATATAAATATATAAATAAATATATATATTAATATATAAATATATATTTTTATATATATATATATATTTATATTTTTTTTATATTTCTTTACATCATTTATTTTTATTATTTCTTTCCATAAACTTTTTTCTTAATTTTGCATCATTTCTTTAAATTTCTTCTCCTTTTTCTTTTTCATTTTAAGCTTTTTTTAAGTCTCCTGCCAATAAGTATTATTTATCTTTTCTTTTCGAATGATCACTACTTAACTCAGAATCAATTATATTAATTTAAACAGGTAAAATATCTCTAAAGTCCCAATATTTTTTTCCATCAAATTCAATGAAACCTAAATATGATCCATAGCAATTAGAAACTGTTTTGCCATTAACTTTAATTTCTCCTGATATATAATCTGAAGGTTTTTTTTTACTTTTCCTATATTAATTATTGCTGATATTTTATTTTAAACATCCGTAAATTCAATAGAACCTAAAGTTTCAGTTTTCATAGTTCCCATAAATGTCCCACTATAATATTCATAACCAAAATTATATTTAATAGTTTATCCATCTTTAAAAATAAGACATCTTTTTCCTTTATTTTTCAGAGTTAAAGAATTCCAGCCAGCTTTAGCTTCATATAAATAATATCCATAAAATTTATAAAAATTATTAGGACCTGTAACAAGAAAATATGAGACCTAAAATATAAAAATGTAAAATATACATATATAAAAATATATAAATATATTAAAATATTTATTTATAAATATATAAAATAAAATATTTTATATAAAAAAAAATTATATATTTTATAAGAATATTAAAGTGAAATAAAATATAAAAAATATATTAATTAATACAGGAGGATGATGAGAAATTTATTCAGCATACAATTTAGTTCCATCAATATAGCTTCCTTATAGAGTTTCACCCAAAATTGGATTAAGAGGCTTTAAGAAAGTATTGGCAACAGGAAAATTAGCAAAAGTGGCTGTAATAATTAATTTAAAATCTCTCCACTAGATCATTAATATTAGCAGCTTTATTTATATAAACGGGAAAAAGACAAGACCCTAAAAGTATTGTTTAAAGGGCACTTTTAGGGATCATAGCTTTTATAGGAAAACTGACTTATGTAAGATTAAAGTCTCCTGAAATAATTTTTCTACCAATTTCTTTAATTATAAATTTACCAACATTTCTTGTATTATTAACTATTCCTTCATCAGGACATATTTTCCCTCCTGCTTTATGTGCATCTTTTATTCTTTCTTCTTATTTATTATTATTATTTAAAGGTATATTATCAGATATTTTTTATAAAGTTTATTTATTTCCTATAAAATATTCGTTTTTATCAGCGGCTTTTAATATTTATATATCTTCTTCATCTTCCTCTTCTTCTTCATCTTCTTCTTCATCTTCTTATTACTCTTCTATGTTGTTTTTTTTATCTTGTTCCTCAAGTATATTATGTTTTTTTTCATCTAATAAATTTGTTAGAAACTAGCTTTACTTTGTTTCTGTTCTTTAAGAGGTTATAAGTTGGTTTTTTTAAGACTCAACTTGACAAAAAGATTAAAATTACATTTTCATCTTCAGTATCAGATTCTATTAATTAACCTTTTTCTGTTTAATCAATATTCTATAGTATATGCTTTTATACACTTGAAATTTTAAAATTGTTATTGTCTGAAAGATTAGGAGATTATGAAAGTTTAAAAGGAGAATCTTTAACTAAAAAACATGGCGGTTATCTATTTTTAAATTAATCTAATTAGATTATTTCAATATTCTTTTTTTAAATTAAACTTAATTCTTCACCAACATCATCAAGTTCTTTCTCAAAATATTAATCATCTATATCAATAATTTAAATATATATTTACTTTTAAAATTAATTTTATTAAATTTTTTTTAGTTTAAATTAATAATAATATTTATAAAATATAAAAAAAAAAAATTAATATATTATTAATATATAATGGAAAAAATATGTAAATATATTTATTTATAATATAAATATACATATATATATTTTAATATTTATAATAAAATAAATAAAGACAATTATATAAAAATAAACATATATATATAATAATAAATTTATATATATATATATATTATTAATATATATATATATATTTATATTAATTATTAAAAATTACTTATTTTATATGGTTTTATTATATTCTTTTATATTTGATTTAGTTAATTAATATTTTTTATTTATATAGATTAAAAAACTATAAATTCATACATATCTTCTTCATATTCTTCGCTTTTTTCTTTTCTGTTTTCAATATAATATTCTAACAATTTATTCATTTTTATTTTAAGTTTATTATACTATTCATCATTTTTTTATGTGCAATCAAAATCTTCTAAATTAACCTTCATTTAAGTTTTTTATAAATCTTATAATCCTTATTTAGAAATACCTAAAATATTATTTTTATTTAAATATAAAACTTCATTTTCAGTTTATAGAATTTTCTCCATATACTCATCATCAATTTCTAAAGCGAATTCTCTTTTTGTCCTTTCTTAAAGTTCTTTTTATATTTATTTTTTCTTTTTTTTCTAATTAATCAACCTGTATACTTTAAATAAATTTTCATGGATTACTTAGTTTTTTTATTCTTTGCTTTTTCCTATCAAATCAATTGTGCCGGCTATAGGTTTAAATACTAGGCCAATTGTTGTATTTAATTATATATTATTACTATTATAATAATTATTATTATTATTATTATTATTATTATTATTATTATTATTATTATAAATATTTTTATTATTATTATTTTTGTTTTCACACTTGAATGGGTTAATAATAAATTCGCTTATTGCATTTAATATTTCATTTAAAATAAAACTTTCACTAAAAAATAAATTTTTTACTGGCATATAACCTTTTATTTTGTTTTTTCTTTGTTTTTATATTTTTTTTCTTTCTTAATCATGTAATTTTTAAGTGTTATTTACTATAATTCCTCCTGTTAAATTAAATGACTATCCCTATATATATATTATACATTTTCCTAATGTTACATAAAAACCATTTTCTGATGCTATATATACTTATATATAAATATATATCATTAAATTTTTTTTATACATTTTAATATTAAATTAAAACACATATCCAATAATTCTCGTATTTTTCCTGGATTTTTATTAGAAAATAGTGTTACTAAAAATTTACGTCCTTTTTTATTTCTAAATCTTATAATTTCATCAACTTCTTCTTCTTCTTGTTCTTCGAAACGACCTTTTATTAATGTAAAATATGTCGAAGGTTTTGTTTAGGTTTCCTTTTTATAACATAAAAGACGACCTTTTTGCATATCTAAAGCAAAAAATTAGCGATATTTAACACTCCATTTTGTATAGTGAACAAATCCTAATATATTACTAGTTGATACTTACTATGTGAAGTTTTCAGATAATTTTTTTATTTGATTTTCTTAATTCGAATTAAATTCTTCAGATGACTCGCTATAAAATACTTTATTATCATTTAAGGAAAATTGATATATTAAATCGTTAGTATGTTATTAAAGAGACATATATTATTTTTTTTAATAAATTATTATAAATGTAAAATTTTGTAATTTTATATAAAATTATCTTTTATTTATTTATTTTTAATATTATTAATATAAATTAAAAATAGAGATATTATTTTATCATTATATTAAATATATTTATAATAATATAAAGAAACATATTAATAACAAAAATTATATTGATGATAAAAATATAAGAAAATAAATAATTAAGAAATAATAAAATATAAAAAATATATATATTTTGAAAAACTAAATAATAATAAAAAATATATTTATTACTTATATTTAAATATAATTAAGATAAATTTATTTTAAAATAAATATTTACAAATAATAAGAAAATTAAATAATATATAAATAAAATTATATATATATATATATATATGAATATATATTTATATATAAAATATTTAATTTTATAAAAATATTATTTTATTTATAATATTTATTTATTAATTAAGATAATTTAAATTTAATATCTTTTAATTTTCATTTCAAAATATATTTGTAATTTTTTTTATAAGGTATAATTTTAAATTTAATTTTATTATCAATATAATTTCTTAACTTTTATTAATAAAATATTAAATTTATTTATAAAAATCTGATTCCATATATGACTGTAATTTTTTTATTTATTTAATTTAGAATTTTTAAATTATAATACATAAATAATTTTAATTAAAGAAAATATTATATTTTATTTATAAAGATATTTATTTTCATTTGTATATATTTTTTATATTTTATTTTATATTATATTATTTTATAAAAAAATATAAAATTAAATATTATTAATTTATTTTATTATTAATATTATTATTAATTAATTTCAAATTATTATATTTTTATAATATTTTTTTTAAAATATCTATAAACAAATATATATTAAAAATTTAATAGTATTCAATTAAAAAAAAAACAATTAAATATTTAAATTTTTATTGAACCTATTTATTATTGATTTTATTTTTAAAAGTATTTTTTTAAAAATAATTTAAAAAA